ACCTCTACCAGAGCCCAGCAGAGGTCCTGGTACACAGCACTCAGTAAAGGGTTATCCTCTGAATTAATTCATTCTTCACCCTGACCCTTCTTCACATTACAGAACGTTCTCCTGGGCGGTCTTGTGATCTTTGCCACCTTTGTGACTTTATGCAATGCATCATGCTATTTCATACCCAATAAGGTAGTTCCAGGAGAGACAATCAAAGGTAAGTCTTGACTTTTCAGTATTTATTATGTTATTGCAGCCTGGCAGATGGACCTGTCTGCAGATAAAAACCTTTGTGTTTGTTGTTGTTGTTTGTTTGAGACAGTCTCGCCTTGTCTCCCAGGCTAGAGTCAGTGGTGAGATCTCGGTACACTGCAAACTCCTCCTCCTGGGTTCCAGCGATTCTCCCACCTCAGGCTCTGAAGTAGCTGGGACTGCAGGTGCCTGTCACCAGGAGCAGCTAATTTTTGTATTTTTGGTAAAGACGGGGCTTCGTCATGATGGCCAGGCTGGCTTCGAACTCTTGACCTTGGGTGATACACTCGCCTCGGCTTCCCAAACTGTTGAAATTTTAGACGTAGGCCACTGTACCTGGCCTCACTTTAGGAGGCTTCTAAGACTACAGCGGCCTGGGCCCTGCACCCAGGGATAGGCTCCACTGTTCTAGGGTAGGGCTGAGACATGGAAGATGTTTTTCAAGTACCCAAGATGTTTCACATGTGCACCCAAGGTTGAAAACCACTGATGCAAAGCAAAGGGAAGTGTAGAAGTGAGATATTTATTGAGAGATAATCCAGCAAGAAAAACCTTGTTCCCAAGTACCCCTAGGCTCCTATGGCTAACTCATTCAAGAAAAGGGCCTTATTTTTTTCTTGAAATACCTGTTCTGAAATAAAAGTCAGAAAGATGTAAGCTTTCTATAAGAAAACGTTATCAGTAGCGTGAACTGAACTGTACTGGAATTAGCCATGGGTGAATCCAAGAGCACCATTCTTTGATATCTTTAAAAGCAATGAGCTTCTCCCTCTCTGTGAAGGGTACAGATAGCAGGGGCCGGACTCAGTGTCCTGATAGGCCTTATTCTCATTGTATGACTTGCACTGATGATGTCATGTGTATGGTTTTAGAATGCACGGATCTCAACGGAAACAATCACCCAATAAACTCGAGGTGGCGGACTGACAACTGTGAGAGATGTGGTTGTGGCGAAAAACGAATTTCATGTTGCTCTCTGTAAGTCTCATCAGAATCTGCTGGGGAAGGGCTAGGAATCTGAATTTTAGCAGGTGTCTTGAGAGTCTCATGAGGACACCGTGAGTAGAGAAGCAAGCACTTGACTTAGATCAGAACACCTGAGTCCTACCGAACTTGAAGTGTCTGGAGAGTTCCAGCCACATTTATTGAGCAGGACCTATGCTAGGTGCCTAATGGAACAAGAGGAATTGGACTGGGAGTTGGCTGGCTGCTCAGAGGAGACTCCCAGGCATCACATTGGTCAGGCCACTGGGTTTTATAGCTAAGCCTTGATTTTGTGGCTCCAGAGATTTGACATTGTCTTTATAGCAAGCGTTGATGTGACTCTGGTGGAGTGTGATTGTATCACAGCCAGGTGAAGTACTGGTGACTGGTCCCTTCCTAAGATAGGAGCACGGCTCCCTGGTGGCTAAGGCATCCATGTCTCCCAGATTTGGCATCCCTGACCTCTTCTAGGATTTTCCACTGTAGGCTTGGATTCTTGTGGGCCTGGTGCGGAAAAGGGCCAGGCTGCTCCTTGCAGGGAATAGGGAAGAACCTCAATATTGGAGTCAGAGTAACTTGTGTCTGAATCTTCATTCCCTTGTGTACTAGCTGTGTGACCCTGAGTAAGTTTCTGAATGTCTCTGAGCCTCTGTTTCCTCACAATATAATCAGGGATAATTAAGTGGCTATGAGAATTAAATGAGATACTGCATATACATTCTTTAACCCAACAAACACTTAAAGCCTTCTCTGTGCCAATTCCGTGTCCTGCAAGCCTGGGGCAGTAACCGACACCTGGTCAGGTTTAGGGTGCCCTTTCCTTTCTTCTGACATGTTGCATGTTCCACTTAGCACACTGCTCCACACGGGGGAAATGAACCACCCCTTCTTCCCTGGAATTGCCTCACTTCCTACCAAGTTTGTTTTTCTCATGAACTTTTTTCTCCTCCATGGAAAAATACAGACTTTGATTAGCTTTTTCTGGAAGCAGTTTTTGGACCCACTGCACCCTCTACGGGACACTGCCCAGATCTCAAGGTGCTTGGTGGCAGTGGAGCCTGAGGCTGGGGGCCCAGGCAGAGGCTCCCTGGCAGGGCGTGGGAGATGTCCTGGCCTCCACGCTGCCCGGGCTTAGCCCAGGGTTGGCTCCCTGACTTGGGTGAGGAAAAGGGAGTGGGAGACAAAAGGCCAAGGCCATCCGACCACTGGCTCTGGACAGCTGCACACCTGATGTTGACAGTTTCTCCTCCCCCTCTCTCTCTGCTGCTTCACCTACAGAGCTAAGTCTGGTTTGAACTGAAATAAGCATCCAGTAATATGCCCTTTGCCTTACCAGCTTGTACTTGTACACAGGCAACAGTGATTCACCATTTCACTTCCTACCATGAATAAAAGAATTTCATCTCTTTGGCCAGCCATGGTGGCTCACACCTGTAATCCCAGCACTTTGGGAGGCTGAGCTGGGTGAATGACCTGAGGTCAGGATTCCAAACCTGCCTGACCGACATGGAGAAACCACGTCTCTACTAAAAATACAAAATTGGTCAGGCATGGTGGCACATGACTATAAACCCAGCTACTCAGGAGGCTGAGGCAGGAGAATCACTTGAACCCGGAAGGTGGAGACTGCAGTGAGCCCAGATTGCACCATTGCACTTCAGCCTGGGCAGCAAGAGCGAAACTCAGTCTCAAAAAAGAAAAAAAAAAAAAAAAGAAAAGAAAGGAAAGAAAAGAAAGAATTGTATCTCTTCAACAAACACCACTTTATTTTTAACTTTTATTAATTGTGGTAAAATGTATACTACATAAAATGTGCCAGTTTAACCATTTTAAAACATAGAATTCAGTGGCATTAAATACATTCACAGTATTGTGCAACCATAAACCCTACTTGCAAAACTTTTTAATGAGGCCAACCTGAAGCTATATCCAGTAAACAGTAACTTAGAGACCCCCTTCCACAAAACCCCTGGTAACCTCAAATCTACTTTCTATCTCTGTGAATTTGCCTAGTCTAGATATTTCATATAAATAGAATCACATCGTGTTTGTCTTTTTGTGTCTGGCCTACTTCACTCAGCATGTTGTCAAGATTCATATATGTTGTAGGAAGTTATCAGTACTTGCTTCCTGTTTCTGCCGGAATAATATTCCATGGCATGGCTAGACCACACTTTGCTTATCCATTTATTTGTTGATGAACACTTGAGTTGCTTCCACCTGTTGGCTAAAGTAAGTAATGTTGTTCTGAACATTGTCAATATACAAACATTGGCATATAACGTTTGAGTCTCTGCTTTGAATTCTTTTGGGATATGCCTAGGAGTAGCTTGCTGGGTCATATGGTAATTTTTTGTTGAACTTATGGAGGATCTGCCAAGCTGTTTTCCACAGCAGCTGCACCATTTTGCATTCCTACCAGCCAACAATCACATTTAAACATGCAAGGTTTTAAATATTTCCCCCAATTTTCTAAGTAAAATATATGAATTATAGAACCATTGGAAAGTATAAGAGAAAAAAGAAGAAAAACCTACTCACAATCCTGACTGCTTAAAGGTAATAACTGTTAACATTCTATCATATTTATTTATTTGTATTAAAAAATTGAGACAGGGTCTCACTATGTTGCCAGGCTGGTCTCAAACCCCTGGGCTCAAACTGTCCTCTCACTTCAGCCTCCTGAGTAGCTGGGATTACATGTATGTGCCACCATGCCTGGGCTTCTATCATAATTTCTTTATGTCTCTTTTCTACATTTCTTTTCTTGCACATAGTGAATATCAAATTTTATATCACAATTCTGTGGGCTGATTTTTTCACTTAATGTTCTAGCATTGGGCTAGGCATGGTGGCTCACGCCTGTCATACTAGCACTTCGGGAGGTCAAGGAGAGGGTGGATCATTTGAGGTCAGGAGTTCAAGACCAGCCTGGCCAACATGGTGAGACCCCCCATCTCTACTAAAAATATAAAAATTACCTGGGCGTAGTGACACGTGCCTGTAATCCCAGCTATTCAGGAGGCTGAAGCAGGAGAATCACTTAAACCTGGGAGACAGAGGCTGCAGTGAGCTGGGATCGCATAAATAAATATTCTAGAAGTAGTACAATCTCATCTCATCAGAACTCTTCAAAAATATTTGTATGTATTGCAGCTCAATTAAAGGTGGTCTCTGACTTTTAACAGCTTCTCCCGGGGCTCCATGACACTGGCCTGGAGTGACTCTTTGCTACGGTTCATTGAGAGAGCTCCTGTGTTAACAAGCCTCCAAGCCAGGGCTGGGCCAACTGTTCCCTTTCCACATTCTAGCAACAATATGCTGGCCACTTCCTGAACAGGGAGGGTGGGTGGAGCCAGGCTGGAACAAGCTGCCTAGCTCCAGAGTAGCCAGACTTGCCCCTGCCTGTCAGCACCTACCGCTGACCTGTGCCTGCAGGATGGAATGTAGGGGTGGGCTGTGTGGCTCCATGGTACAAACTGGTCCATGTTCTTGAAGGCCACACTCTGGGGCTGCCAGCCAAAGGGTGCCCTTAAGTTGGTTAAGTCACCCCAGACAGCTGGAGCATGGGTGGCTTCCTGAGCAGAGCTGGGACTTGTGCGGGGGGGGCGGGGGGCGGGGTGCTGTGGGTCCTTTCTCTTCTAACAGGCTCTGGTTTTGTCTCAATGACAGTGTTGTTATACCTGTGAGTTATGACAGAGAGAAGTGCCAGAAAATCTTTAAGAAGGAGAGCTGCAAGTATACTGTGGTGGAGAAGAAGGACCCAAATAAGACCTGTGATGTCAGTGGATGGATACTGTAACATGCGTCTTGTAGGCACAGGGCTCCCAGGCCAGGCCTCGTTCTCTGACCTCTAATAGTCTATGATGGTGTAGCCCTGCCTATCAGTAAAAGATTTTTGAGCAAACACTTGAATATGTGTGTACTTTTAATTTATAACTTAAGTATGCATTAATTTAATACACATTATAAAGCATACAAAACATTTAAAAAGGGAGACAAAAATACATTTGAATAAAAGTTCTATTTTTCCTAAACTCTGTAACAGGTCATTGTGCAACCCTTACTCGGGGGACCGCTGCCACTCTTGCTGTTTGTGATGTCTGCACTCTGCTGCCCATGTCCTGCTGGCTGGTAAATGTTTTAAAAAATGTGTGTCTTCAAGCTGAAATTAGATCCCTTCTTTTCTTTAAGCTACTCCTGTTTATCCCTCCTTCCTCTTCATCAGGAAGTGTCTTCTATGATGTGCCCCCCACATTCCTCTGTGTTTGCCTGAGCTGAAAGCAGGTTAGAACAAGACAGCCTGAATAAGTGCCCCCAAGGCCACATGCAGGCTGAGGGGAATTCAAGGCCAGGGGTCTGCCTTGCTGATGGAGAGTGGCCTGGGAGCAAGGCCTCAGCATCAGTTATCTCTGGCTATGCACAGAGCACCCAAAACTTAATGGCTTAAAACAATGACAACATCAATTCTCTTTTGACCGTTTCTGTGATAGAGAATATTTGTTCACTCAGCAGGCCTGTACTGAGCACCTGGGCCCAGCAGTGCACTGGACCTGAGGGTACAGCAGTGAACCAGAGAGATCTCAGGAGAGAACCCTGCTCTCCTGGGTCTTGGAGTCAGCTGTGTGTACGTGACAGATCAGAAATGCGCAAACAGTCATCTGTTGAACAATCAGTGGGCAACTGATAAACAACTTTATTTTCCCTTGTCCCCCATCTGTTTAAACATGCTATGTGGGCCAGTTGAGCAATCTAGACAGGTCCCTTAGCTTTGTTGGTCACCTTCAGATAATTTAAAACAGTGGTCTCAGTTACATTTTGAGTTATATGAAGTTTCATTCAAGGGGCTGCATCTGAACTGAGAGGGAATGGGGCACAGGAGCGTTAAGGGCTCCTTCTGCCTGAGGTCATGTTCTAGGCTGACTTCCTCTGAGACTTTTGTGGGCCTCTCTCTCCACAGCTTCCCTTCCACTCACAGCCTATGATTGTTGTCTTAGCTTCTGCATCAGAATCTACTTTCCTGTTGTTTTGTAATGAGGTTGCCTTGCCCCCTGTAGGAGTCACTCTTGGGTGTGATTCATAAAACCCTGCTATGATCTTCTTTGCTGGGGAGTGTGGGGAAGCAGCTGTCAACCGAGTATGGAGGACCTCTGTTGAAACTGAGACAGAAAGAAGTACCATTTTAACATCTGGTCAGAAGTAAATAATGTGGGTTATAATTTGGGCTCTAGGCTGGACATGGTGACTTACGCTTGTAATCTCACATGAGGTGAGAGGATCGCTTGTGCCCAGTATGAGAGCAGTCTGAGCAATATAGCAAGACCTGTCTCCACAAATTTTTCTGTTGTTGTTTGAGACAGAGTCTCAGTTTATCGCCAGGCGCCAGGCTGGAGTGCAGTGGCATAATCTCGGCTCACTGCAACCTCCGCCTCCTGGGTTCAAGCAATTCTCCTGCCGCAGCCTCTCGAGTAGCTGCGACTACAGGCACACGCCATGACGCCCAGCTAATTTTTTGTATTTTTAGTAGAGTCGGGTTTCACTGTGGTACCCAGGATATTCTAGCTCTCCTGACCTCAAGCGTGAGCCCCCGCAGCCGGCATATTTACTCAATCTTTCGAAAAAAAAATGTGGCAAATGTATAATCATGCATCATAACGCCTTTTGTGTCTTACGATGTTCGCTTTTGTATCTAAATGTTCAAGCTAAATAATATCTACTTTGTGAGGACCTCGGAATCACTTGGGATGGTCTTCCGCATGGAATTTGCCTTTAGAAAAAAAAAAGTTTCCTTCATTTAATTTGATTTATTCACGGAGGGCGAAAGTACACCGTGCAAGGGCGGGACGGAGTGTGCGCCTGCGCTCTGCGCCTTCTACAGGGCAGTCAAAGGCTTCTGGGGGATCACAGCGGAGATCTCGCGAGAGTGTTAGACGGATGGCGTCAGCCGCCGCCTCCAGCCTGAATGCTCCTTTTGACAACTACTAAAACCAAGGGACACTGAAAATCACTAACAAAGCTCATCAAAAGAGTGGCAGTGAGCTAATGCTATGGTGGCTCCCCCTGTAATCCCAGCACTTTGGGAGGCTGAGGTGGGGTGATCGCTAGAGGCCAGGAGCTGGAGACCCATCTGGACAACATAGGAAGACCCACATCTCTACTAAAAGCAAATAAATCAGGTGTGGTGGAGCCCACCTATAGTCCCAGCTACTCAGGTGGCTGAGGTAGGAGATCACCTGAGCCCCGGAGGATGCAGTGAGCTAAGATCGAGCCACCTGCATCCCAGCCTGGGCGACAGGGCAAAACCCTGTCTCTTTTTAAAAGTCCTCTTTGGTTGTCAGTCTACAGAGATCACAAAGCAAGGGTTAGATAACCAGCCACCACTCTTATTCAAAAATCCTATTCATTTAGGACTTTGGAATTACAGTTTTGAGGGAGCTTTTTGGGCCCCCGACATGAAGAATCTCACTAAAGGATATCCACAAACTGGCTTGTCTCCCGCCCCACTCAGTCCAGGTCCCAACAAGAATCGCCTCGCTAGTGCCGGAGCAATCCCTCAGCGTGGCGGAAACGGATCTCCCCTCTGGATGGAGCTGAGCGGCACTGCCAGAATCTCCAAGGAATGGAAGCCGCGTCTGGGCCGCGGTCCGGGTCCGCCCCTCTCCCCGGTTGCCGGGGGCTGCCAGGCTGGCATTCTCCAGGGCTATGAGGGGCGTGTGCTCCTAAGAGGGCAGGCAACCTGACAGCCTGGGTGCAGGGGCAGTCGCGGCCCGGTCCTTCCGTGCGCAGGCCGAGCGTCACCCCTGCCGCCCTCGCGTCCCCGGGGCCCGTCTCTCACGCCCGTGCGGCCATCAGCGACCAGCTCTGGCTGCTTCTGCGGATCTCCTCCACCGACCATGGCCGCTCCCACATGGGCTCGGATGCCGGCGCCCACTCCTGGTCTGTGGTCATCCGGTTCATCTGCAGCGAAAAAAAAGAGGAGACAGGCTGAGCCTGAGGGCAGCAGGGACAGTGGCCCCAACCCAGGCTGTTCCCTCTGAGACCAAGCTTGCCGCCCTCACCATCCCAGCCTCCCCAGGGTGGTTTTGAACTCCTGACCTCAGGTGATCCACCCGCCTCAGCCTCCAATTTGGCTATTTTTTTTTTATTTCGTAGAGTTAAGTTCTCACTATGTTGTCTCGGCTGGTCTTGAATTCCTGGCCTCAGGCAGTCCTCCTACCTGGGCTTCCCAAAGTGCTGGGATTCCAGGTATGAGCCGTAGCAGAACCTGCTGTGGGAAACAGATCTCTTCAACACTGAATGGAGAAGGAAGAAGTTTATTCAGCCCCGGAGCCTGAGCGATAATTGGTCCAAAGCTCAGCTCCTATAACAAAGTAAGCTTCCGCCTTTACTTAGGCTTATACTTTAGCTATTACAGGTGGTGGAAGAATCGTGGGTTTACAGTCTTAACACTCACATGTGAAAAGGTTTCAGTTTACAGTTTCAGGAATCACATACAAAAGGGTTCCCGTTTACAGTTTTAGGACTCACATGTGAAAAGGTTCTGGGTTTGATCTCGTTTGAGTAAAAACAGTGTCTTCCTGAGAGTTTCCCCAAGACCAAGCCTGCCACCTACAGGAAGGTGAAACAGTAGGCGCCAGTCAGTCAGCCTTTTCTACTGAAATGCAGCATGATAGTCAAAGGGGAAGTTGATCTTAGATGCTTGGGTCTCCTTCTTCAGAGCCACCACACCTGGCCTAAAAATGTATTTTTTATACATATGTCTTTGTAAAAATTGGGATAAAGAGAAACATACTGGCAGTGGTATGCATTTGAAGAAAAATGGGAGAAAGTATATTTACTTAGGATGTTGTGGGAATTGAGGGACAGGAGAGACATACGGGCAAAACAGGAGGATTTTATTAAGGTGGTCACCAGCTCAGCACATTAGCATCCCAAGGCTGAGCCCTGAACATAGACCGGGCTTGACTTTTCTGCATGTGACTGAAGGGTGATAGGCATTTGTGGCCCGAAACTTGCAAGGCGGGAAAGGAGCTTACAGAGGCAGAACAAAGGCAGTTTATTAAGCCGTGACCACTGTTGCAACTTAGGCAAGACTTATGACCTTCGGTATACATTACCGGTGGGAAAACAGGAACTTACTTAACTTTTACTGCAAATAGTTACTCAACAGAAAAAGAACAGGCCTGGGAAATAGAGGGTACTTATTAAACTTGTTCTTATCTCTGTTCTGGGGGAGTCTCTGCAGCCCGTACTTTAAAGGCTCTGGTTCCTAAAGCTGTACTAAATCACTAGGCTGGTTAACATCTATTGGAATTTCTTGGTGCAAAGATGGGGGAGGGGCCTGAACACATTGTCAAGGGAGGAGGAAGGGGAAGGAGACGGGCTGTGGGATCCCCTGCAGAAAGGCCCCATGTTGGTGGCAGCCCCTGCCTGCTGCTCCAGGGCTCAAAGGTGCTTAGATCTCTTCACTTGAGTGCAGTTGCTGCCAGCCCTTTGGGCAGGTGTGTGAGGGAGGCAGCCCCAGGTGTAAAAAGAGCACTGGCTTTTGGGTCAATAGGCCTGTTATATGGAAGAGGGAGACCCAGGCATCTCAGATCAACTTCCTCTTTTCATTCCTAAGACTGTAAACTGAAAGCCTTTTCATATGTAATTCCTAAGACTGTAAACTGAGACCCTTTTCATATGTGAAGCTATAAACCTAAGATTCTTCCACGTGTAACATCTAAAGTATAAGCCTATGTAAAGAAGGAGCCTTCCTTTGTTAGGCGAGCTTGAATATTAGGCAAATATGCCACCTAGCTCCCGGCCGAATAAACTCCTTCCTCCAATATTCCATGTCCGAGAGATCTGTTTCCTGCTGCCGCTCCTGCAACATTTTTGTGCGTTGGCCAGGAAGCGAGTCTCGGATAGCAGAC